GGTACTAACTAACAGTACTCCCAGCTCTCTCCCTGCGATATGCAAAGCATGTGCCTTCGATACAGATAGTTTCGGTACGGTTTTATGTGGCCAGCCCGTATGGAACCTCTCGGTACTTCACGGCCCATAGCATTTGATAGCGTCGCATTACATATAGTACCACATATATGAGTATGTTGCATTTACCCTCCATGCGGAAGCACTTTCCGAAGTTGATAAACTTCAGAACGCCCGAAACTGTTTGAAGTTTGCTTTGGGGACATTGTTATGCGCCCAGTGTTCCAACAGCTGACAATGGGATGATATCAGGGAATCGTAATTTTCTAAAAAAAAGCCTTTTAGTAAATGAGTATCTCAAGTTATCCAGTGAGAATACAAAACTTCCTGTTTCTCATGAATTATAAAGATAGGAAAATATAATATATTGAAATACATTTATTCGGAACTAATCTTAATTTGATTGTGAGCCATTCATATCCCTCTGGTTTGTTGATTTTATTTTTGTAAATTTCTCTATTTACTTAACATTATTAATGTGTCATTGTTATTTTTGGTTTTTACTTTTTTTTTTGCTGTACTTGTATTCCTTATTTGGGCCACACATTTTTGTACGTTTTCTTGCGTACGCGACAATAAAACAATTTTTACGCCGAATGTTTTTTTACGGTTTGTGTGCACAGCCACAAGCGCACACAGGCGGGCAAAAAAAAAGCAGAAAAAAATACGAATAATGAGTTTATGTATTTTAAACTGACCTCATTATGAAGAAAAATTGTTTTGCACACAGAGAGTGTGTGGAAGGAACAAGTTGTTAACAAATGGAATTTTTGAAGAAGTTTTTGCTGGCCAAAAACCAGAGTGTGTGACACACGAAATATGGAGTACAGTAATATTAATAAATATTCAAGGCGATAAGCTAAAAAAAAAATCGAACCAATCGCTGTAAGTAAACTGGCTGATAAAGAGAGAATTCTGCTTATCTCGACAACCGAATCGAGGCCTTTTATTTCATCAACTTCGATTCCGGTCATTACAAGAAAAAACTAAATCTTATTTCGAACATTTATCGTTGTTTTATTTATTTAAACCTTTCGGTACTGAGTCATAATTTAAACTAAAGACTCAATTAATCAAGTGATTGTATCTCTTCATAACTTCCACACAATTTACGGTACAAGTAGTTTCCGTTTGTGCTTATATAAATAATTCTTATTTTCGGTTATTTATTTGTTCTTGTATCGGAAACGGTTGAAAAAATTGTCACGTAATATTTGTGAAGTGAGCTGCAGTTGAGTAAGGTATTTGCTTCTCTTTTTTTAATGGTTGGATGGATGGGGGAGTAAATGTCAACATTATAATAAATTTAACAATTTTAGTACAGTTAATTATTATGGATTATTACGATTTAATGATAAATATTAGTAATTTTTTAACTTCTTTTAATAATTGTGCTGTTGCTAAAATCCCAAGAAATGTATTTCTCAGCTTAAACAACTCCCTTGAGGAAAATGCGCATTTACGGCATTATCTTATCCATCTTGACTTTCGGCACTCACTGTAATTTTAATTTAATTTAATTCTAAGCACGTTTGGGAAAAAAATACAACCAACAACTGTAATTACGTTTTTGCAAAATACGAGGCAGCAACAAAAAAATGCTCAAAGAGACGAAGAAAAATTGGCAAGAACGAAGAAGCGAGGAGAATTCTTTTGAAATCTTCTCTTTCGTTTTTTCTTCTTTTTTTTCGAGAAGTTACCACGAGTTGGAGTCTTTCTTCCCCACCGCCCACAAAAAAAAAAACACCCCCTCGCAGCTACAGCGTCATCTTCGCGGTTTTCTAAACGGTGATTTAGCCATTATGTTAACGGTAAAATGTGCAGAATCTCCTGGCCATGCGAAATGGAGTTTCTTTTCTTATAGCGATGGGGCCTCGAACCGGTTTTCAGGTAGAGGCCCCCTCTTTGGGCCTTTGTCGTCGTTCGCTTTGTGCAACTGTTTCGCTTCTTTCGAGTGTGTGCTTGTTGCATAACCCGCGTATTAAGTTGCCTCGTTGTCATCGCCGTCGTCTTGGCCAAGTTATCTCGTCTTTGGGCTTCTGTTGTCGCATTGTCGGACTGCTTAGCACGGTTCTAAGCTGGTTTTGTAAGGTAAAGTGGCTAATTTGCCGGTTCTTTATTACTTTTTTTGACCACAGCACACACTCAATCACTTACGTATTTCCTCTGACAGTTGCGGAAATACAAATAAATATTAGGTTTACTTACGAAATTTACAATCTATAAATAAATGTAGAGAAGGGAGAAATGGAAACCCAGGGAAGCAAAGGAGGAAGATAAGTGGAAAACAGTCACAAAAAAGGAACATTTACCATTATCACAAATGCATTACTTCTTGTTTACATTTCCCTTCTTTGTCGCTACCCAGAATTTTGTCCTTGTCTGCTGCGCTGATAAAAATAAAGTCCAGTCCACAAACAGAAATAATTTCAACGCGACGCGACGAGACGACAATAAAGTAAACATAATGAAATTGTTTTCCTTCGTCATATTTTCCTTTCTCTCTGTCGTTTTGTCTCGTCTGCGACTTGTTGAAACTATTTTAAGCGCAGAAAAGAAACTTAAACACCAGCTCATCAATAACATCTCGTCCCGTGCTGCCAACTGTGGCGCTCAATTAACATTCTTTTGTGAAAATTTATTGAATCTCTTCTTTAATGAAGTGGCATGTCCGAAGGCTGTTAATTCTGAAGTTCGATTGGAAAGGCTTTATGGCGTTTTAGTTGCTGATAGGGCATACATATATACAAATATTGTAGGGAATGTTATTAAATATAGGAATTTTATATTGTTTTTTTTTATAGTAAATGAAACATAAAGTTCTAGAATATAAAGAAACAAATATAATAATACAATAAATATCATAAAAACTGTTTTTGGGATCCTAAATCAACAAAAATATGATTTGTTTATTCGGTAGTCAAGGTTATCCATTAGAAACTTTAAATAGAATATCAAGCTCAATAATATTATATTAAAATCTAAAAAATATAAAAATTTCAAGTACCAGATACATTTTTTAAAATTTCCTTAGCCACTCTTCAACATATCATATCATTTACAATTCACTTATTCTTAACAATAAATAATTCAAGGATTCCGCTTTCGTGTTTTAATCAATCAAACGACAAACGGACTGGAAGAAGTGATATCACAAATTTTGTAAGTTGTTTTTGCGCTTGCAGTCGTCACTTGATATATCCACTAGATACATGTGTATCTATGCATCTGCTAAGCTCGCACAAAGCAACAATTATAAACAATGACAAGAGCAGCAAAAGCAACAACAATGAAATGCATTATTATTATCAGCAAAAATACATGACAAAAGAATGAGAGAGAGAGGGCTAGGGATTTGATGGAGATATATGTACTCTTATAAAGAGAGAATATGACGGGGAGATTATGCTTCTGGTGCTGGCTTTTGTGCCACGCGTACAGGAAATTATATAAACAAGTATCTGGACGACAGGAACGGCGGGGAAGGGGGGGGAAGAAAAAACAATGAGAAAAACGCAATGCAGTCGCAGTTGCTGCAGTTTCATGCATGTATGTATGCATGTACTTCGTATGGCAACAGAAAATGTTGTTGATGTTTAAAAAGCAAATACAATAAAGCATTCTCCTCATGCCACGAACACTTGCATACATACATGAGTATTTCCCGGCCGAGAATGCTACACACACACATACATTCATGCGTACGCGTGTGGAAGGAAAACTCTTTTGGGTGGTGGCTGACGAGTTGAGTATACGACACGTTGGCCAAGTGAAGAAAATGAACACAATAACAAATAAGCGAGTGGAGAGGCGAAAAGCGAAGCAAGAAAAATGAAAAATGAAACTTTAATTTGCGCAGAATCTGGAGATTATACAGCTCATGAGCTTATGGCAGATAATGCTGTTTGTTTACAAGAAGCTTACGAAAAGAGTTCGCCAGAGGTAAAACGGATTTAATCAAGAGATTTTCTAGTTGGAAAGTATTATTCTAAGTGCTGATGTTATATAAATTCATATAACTAGGATTATTATACATCATATTCGGTAAAAAATTTGGAAAAAATAAAAATTATGGTTAAATTTAAATGTATTTTTATAAAAATTAGGTATATTTAATTTTTAATAAAAAATAGAAAGTTAAAAGTATAATAAATATAAACTACCTATTATATAAGCTTACAAAATAGTTTATATTAAAGATGCTTTCTTTCTAAAACCTTTTACTTGAAATAAAATAATAAATTAATCGAATAAATTTAAAATATTATTAAAGCTTACTAATATCATCAAATATTTCATTTTGTAATTTCCTTTCCTTGTAAAACCCTTTACCCGAAGTACATATTCTGGGTGATTCAGTTGGCAGGCTGAGACCCTCGCGGCTCTCACTTTGAATCATTTTTCGAGATACATTTAGGCTTAAGCCCTAGCCCCTGTTTGCCGAAAAACGCTTGGGGGGAGCCAGGGAGATAGGAGAACTTACACTTTGCCCTCGGCAACACAAAAGAGGCCCTAGTACCTCCCACTTTTTTTCTAGCCCCATTTCCCCTTCACCTTGCACAGACACACACTTGGCGCCTCCTTTTACTCATTTCGTCTTGGGTTTTGCTGGGGTTTTCTATTTTTTTTTTCGGGTTTTCATCATCAGGCGGAGGGTGATGAGGATGCTGATGATGATGATGGAGAAAGGGGCTCGGCTTGGCTTGGCCCTAAGTGTTTCTTGTAACTTGAGTCTTCAAGTGGCCAGCTGGCATTTGCTTTTGCCAGCTTTTCTTGTTTTCTCGGGGTCTCTTTTTCTCTGTGTGTTTCTTTCAAGTGCGGCAACTTATGTCAAGCCTAGCGTTTTGTTAAAAATAATACTGTAAAATGTCTGAACAAAAGAGATGTGTAAAAAAAAATTTTAATAAAATTTTCTTTTATTTCCCCTTCTCTCTCTCTTGCAGTGTTTCATTTACGTTTCGTACGCGATTTTTATGTGTAGACATCAAATAAACGACTACAACAAAAATTAGCAGTAACATCATCAGCCGCACCAGCAACAACAACAACGAAGGGCACATCTAACGCTGCGGCTAACAGATGAGCCCCAACAACAGATGTCAATTGCTGCAGCCGAAAATGCAGGGTAAGTTTGGATGAAGGGGAAGGGTGGTTTAGGGACTCCAATCCCAAAGGGTTCGGTTTGCAACCTTATAGCTAATGAGGTAAAATGGCTTGGAGTGGGAAAAAAGAAAATGTTTCGATAACAAACGTGACTTTAACTTAATTTAAAGAACTAGAGTACTTTTTGTAATAAGTTTAAGTTTTGAAATTTTCAAAGCTTAAAGCCGTATTCATAAATGCTTAAAAAATTTAAAACAAATTTTTTGACTTGTTTTTTATTAAATCTAATTTGTATTCTTTTGTATTAAAACAGTTTGTCAACTAAAATTAAATTAAATTAAATTTTTTTTTCCTTTTAATTATGTGTAAGTTTTGGAACTTTCTAAAATAATTTGCAGACAAGGCCAGGTTTATGCACTCGAAATGGAAAAAACCTTCATTTATCACTGAGACGATAGCTCCTTTCCCTTCTCCCCCCACCCACCGTCTGTCTGGGCTAGACATTTAATCTGAAATGTTATAACTGTGGTCCTAACACTCATGTGCCAGTCATTAGAAGCTCATTGAATATTGCGACATCACGCCTGTTGTATATTTCTCTTTTTTTTCGGCTGCGCCCCGACGAAATCATTAATTGTGCGCTCTAGTACGAGAATCTCTCAGATACAGAAACAGAAACAAATATATCTGAGGGCGCTCTCTCTGGAGACTGCATTCTATCTCTAACTGGGACCCCACTTCCCCCCGGAATTCCCTGTATTTCCTATAATATTTGGCGCATATTTCGCCATTTGATTTATGGCCTCTCAATTTGTTGCTGCTTTCGTTTTTTGCACTTTTTTGTGATGTCTCCGCTATCGTTTCTTGCCTGCTTTTTCTCATAATTTCTCAGTTTTTTTCTTGGTGGTATTTATTTTACTTTGGTATTTTGATTGAAATTGATTTTATTACTCTTTTTATTAGTTTAACTTGAATTGTGTGTGAGTGGGAATTATGTGGCGAATTTTATGATTTTATTTTCGCCCTCGGATCGAGTTTTACTGTCAAACGAACTTGTTTGGTGTTTGGTTTTTATATATCCGATGGCAAGTGCCATTCGGGCTTTCGAAAGCAGTTGGGACTATAAAAAGGGCGCCTGGCAACCATGGGTTAATAGCTGGCTTATCTAATGGCCGTTGCTTGATCGAATTTTGGTTGAAATTTCAATGCACCCTAATAAATCTTGCCCACTGACTTTCCAGGAATTTTCCCCAGTTTTCACCCGCTGTTACCCAACTTTATCCTCAATTAAACACAAATCAACAGGCACTCATGCAAATCGTATTATATGCAATGGTTCAGGTCCAAAAAATAATTAAAACCACAGTTACTCTTTAGTTTTGGGCAACTAAAATTATAACACTAAACAGCTAGTAAAAAACAATTAAAAAGATATTATTCAAAGCTTTTGTTAGCAATTAAAGCAAAAAACGTGATTCGCTGTGAAGCTTCGATGTTGATATTTTGTTGCCACTAATTGTCATTAAAAAAAAAGTGAAAGTGAGCAATAAGAGTGTTTTGGGTACGCTGCTGTGTAGTCTAGTGTAGACACACCACTTGAGAGAGCAAAAACGTTTAATAAGTTTGGCTTGGCTAGGAAAAATGGGAAATCCATCAATGCCCCTGCGTTGTGATGAGTAATTCCCAAACATTTTTCCATGCCAACCCAGGCTGAAATTAACTTTTTTCTTAGTTTTCCTTTGCGATGAATTCGTAGGCCTATGAAATATATATATATAATTTTTTTTAGACTGCCAGTGCAGCAGCCATGAAATGTGAAACAACTTTATTTCATTGTCAGTGGGTCTCTCACTTCGTGGCTCTCTGGAAAACCGGCTCAAAAACGCCTGAAAATAAAAAATGAAAAAAAAAGAGAAAAACAAAAATGATTACGCTTGCAAGCCGAAACTAGAAAATGAAAGTGAAAGTAGGCCAAACTCATCAGCATGCTCGATTCCCCGACTTTGACTCCGACTTGAGCTCATCGGGTCTCTGTGTCGGTAGGCCTATCTAATATCGCCATGTACATGGCCGCAGAAAACAATGCAATCACTCCACTTCACATTCACATCCACATCCATATCCACATCACTCCACTCCGGTAACGATGGCTTCGATGGTCGCCGGGGATTTGACTTTGCTTCACTTTCGTTTTCAACGCGTCGGCCTATGAAGAAAAGTGAAAATAATTCAGTGAAAATCGTTTCTTTCTGCGTCGCAGCGGGAAAGCGAGTTTGGGTCTTAAGAGCCGGCTGGTTATGAAATCAGTATGGTGTGGGAATTAATTTTAGGGATGTACATATGTAAAACAGATATTTTGATCGAAATAGAGAACCTCCACATATTTATTAGAAATTATTTAGATTAGTTAGTTTAATAAAGTAAGGATGTATTTTGATAAAGCCCTTAAAATCCAATATATTTAAGATCGTCTATAAAAATAGGATTAAATATTTGTTTATTATTTTTTATTTTATATTTAAGTTTGTATAAACATTGTTAATCATCATTAGAAAAACAGTAAATGCTTTATTAAGATAGGACTAGTTTAAATTGGATTGACTGGCGAAGATAAGATTACAGAAATAGTATAAAAGGCAGTATATGAAAGTGATTCATAAAAGAGAAGATGTACTTTTGGTTAAACCAACTAAAGCACTATATAAATTTAAGCCAACTTTTCTTTAACCAAAAAACTGTCTCTTGACCATCAGTAATTCCATCAGTAATTGGCTAATTGTCCCCGGTTTTCCCCCACACGAACAGCCATTATGCCTATTCTCTTTTCCGGCTTAATCCAGCCTCTATATCCCCACAGAAAGATCGCAACTTTTTTCACAGACCAGCGAGTCCGCAAAGTGAATTTGTTACTTTATCCCATGGCCACAAAATAGGACTAACTATGTACGACAGGAAAATAAATGGACGAGTGCTTGGGCTAAAGGCAAGCGGGCGTGAGAACTGGACAACAAACCATCTATAATTTACTTTTTAAGCGCCTGAAAACATACATTTTCCATTTGGCAACAGCAATTTTCGGAGCAGCAGCAACAACAACATCAACGGCGATAACGATACTAACGATAGCCGCCCACACACAGAGCCAAGGGAAACGGCAATCGACACTTGGCTACGCCCGACAACAGAAATTAAATTCGATTCCCCCATCATCATCACATTCAGCCGCTCTCTCGGCGAGAAGAAATTATAAGCCGCTTACATAACAATCAATGCCACTAAGACTACGGGCCCATTTTACCATATCTGGTGTGTTTCATGGACAGAGGCGTTCCTCCTAAAAATATATTTAATATATCCAGGGAAATATTTGTTTGAATCATAAATGTTATACGAGTAGGCATATATTCTCTTAATACAAAAGCGACATATTTAAAATCATATTGAAATCATTGGTAAATCACAAGTTCAAGTTCTTCAATTAAAAACACATCTTGTTTTGATCCTGAAGAAAAACCATATCATTTTTTAAAAGCATATTTTAAATCTCCAAATTAAATTAAATATCTTCAGATAAGAATCAATCATGTTTTCCTCAAAATAAAACAAGACAAATTTTAAAAATAATATCTTAAGATCGCCTAATCTTAGGAACTTTTAACCGAAATCTTAAAAAATAATCTTTCTTGTGTAATTAAAAACTTAATCTTTAGGAACTCACCAAATCACAAGTTCGACAGGATAAAACTAGTGTTGTGCTGCAAGCTGCCCCCCTTCAAGAGCACCTATTAGACTACGCTCCTGTTTCGTAGGCCTCCAGTTAAGTGTGAGAATGTTGCGATGGTTTTTTGCTCGCCCTAATTGCGCTGGGCGTGGCAGGCAAATCAAATTTGTAAACAGATTTCGTTGCCACGGGAGGGGGAGGGGGATATAAAGACTCTTGGTCGTGTTGTTAAATTTTCCTTTGCTGGATGCAATCAGGCAACTGGCTTGAGGAAAATTCCAAACAAAAAATAACGCAAAAATACCAAGAAAATGGGAGAGAGCTCGTCTCGTTGACGCCCCATAGGAAACTTTTTTTATGACTTAAGCTTTGTTGTTGGCCCGATACTTTGTCATTCCGCAGCTGAAATTCTCTAGCCCCCTTTGCAAACCCTTGAAACCCCACAAACACCCACGAAACTGTCCGTTCCATGAAAAGCATTTGCGCAAAGAGAAAAAATTATCGCATTTTATTTTCATCCTTATCAGACGCATTTTCCCTCTGGCTCACTCTTTTTGTGTCGCCTAACCGAAATTTATATGCAGACAGCGCAATATTGCAGTTTGCGTTCTTTTCCCCCTTCATCGGTTATTTCCCTCTGCTAGAAGTTAGAAAAATAATTTTCGCTTCTGTTATTACATACATAGTTCTGTTCTTTTTGCTTGCCTTTCTTCTTGGCAAATTGCTTTCAATTTTCTATAGTTTTTCTTGGTCGCGTATGGTCAAAGTAAAGGAAAAAGATATTTATGTGAATGTGTAAACTTACACTTAAAAAATTAAGCAAGAAACCTTTAGAAAAATAGTGGTTAATAATTAGTTTTAAACTTTTGGTAAACAAACCAAGTCAATATAAAAGGAATATTATTTAAAACTTATTTTAAGATTTGTTGAATTTTAGTAGAATTAATTTGTTGACTCCCAAGAATGCAATGAACTTTATTTTTGTTTAATAGAATAATTTAAAAAACATTTGTAAGAACAAAAAAGGCATATCATGGATTAATGACTTCCGACCTGCAAATGGTATTCAATGAACTTTAATCAGACACATCCTTCATCATGTCAGAAATACAGTAATTCAATTGATTGAAAGGTAACATCAGGAATAGACAACACATAACTGCAGGCTGTTTATAACAAACAACATTTGATACACAATCCGTCTATGTCATTAGCTTATTATTATTATTATTTTTGGGTTTGTTGTCAGGCGAAAATCTATACAACATGGCCTCCCACTTGAGAGGTGGGTGGTGTTTTCG